TAAAGGGTGTTTGCTAGCCAGTTTTCTTGTTGTTTTTGTATTTTGTTTTTCCTTGTTTTGGAATTGAGGATCAGCGGAGAGAGTGTTGATAATCAAAATATATTTTACAAGTTTTTAAAATTAGTTTAAAAAAATTTCTTATTAAATTAGATAAAATTAATGCTTCATCATTTGTGTTTAAAGTTTCAAAAAAATTTATTTAGAAAAATTATGATATGTTTTTATTGATACACTCTTATATGTATTAGTTGAAAACTTAAATTTTGCTAACTGGTTGTAATTTTTAAATAATCAATTAGTCTTAAATAATGATAATATTATCAAATTAACAAAATTATATTTTTGAATTTTTGTTAATTAATTGTATATTGATAGTGTTTAAGAGTAAGGTATAATATTTTAAAATTATATATAAACTTAATAATCTATTTTTTTTATAATTTTAATTATAAAAATTTTTATTAATTAAATATTTTTTGAGCTTCTAAGTAAAGTTGTAAAATAGGTTCTTATAATTTTAATAGTAATAAAATTATTAAAATTGGTGTAAAACTCATCAATATATGAATTTTTAAAGATTAAATATAAAAATTTACTATTAAAATTTATTAAAATTCTTTATAGTTTTTTGGAAATTAACCAATTAAAGTTAACTTTTTTATATAATTCTGGAAAAATTCAAGGTATATATAAATAGAATTTTTTTAAATTAAACATCTTATAAAATTTTAACATAACAAATAACTTATTTAAATTAAATTTTGATAAAGATTAATTAAAAAATAAAGTTTTATTAGTAATACATTTTTAATTTACTATACAAAAATCTATTATACCATCTAGATCATATAAAAAATGATCTACGTACATCCTACCCTTAAATAAAACCCTAGCCATAGAAAAAATAAGTGATATCTAATCGAGCTATTTGCGATTTCGTAAAATACCAGATCCTGGATTTTGATTGGCTATTTAAACACGTAAGATTTTACACGCGTGCATATCAAAATTTCAGAGTTACGTTTTTGATATATTTACTAATAATGTATCAAAAATGCCATATTGCGTATGTACCCGGTATTCTCCGTGATCATCAGTTTGTTTACATTTGGAAAGCAATAAATAGATAAACTTCTAGTGTGGCCTTTTCAGCTTTTCTTTTCTCTTTACTGTAACTGCAACGGTTAATCTAAAAAGATGTCAACAAAAACTTCGCAAACAGCAAACTCCTCAAAAGCCTCACAAGTTAAAGGTAATTAAAATATCTTCGCATTTGTATATGCTTTTATGAGCAAGTATCCTGAAAATTTTATATTTTCTTCGACTTTTAGCTGAGATGAATGCAGTCTGGGTCTTGACAACATTTTTTTCTCGGTACAAAAGAGATTTCGAAATCGAACAAATCGACCAACGTTGCTTCGTTTCTGAAGAACTTGCACGAAGAGCTATGAGGAAAACAGCAAAACAGCTATACAATTCTCCAATCATCCAGGAAGCTCATGACAAATATTTTGAAGAATATGAGTCAGAAATACACTTTGGAGAAAATCCCGAATCTACTGCTTATAGAAGAGAATTTGGTTGTTGCAAAATCGAACTCGTTGAAATTGAAGGCTGAAAAATTGAAATAACATGTAGTTTAAAGGGTCTTAAAAATAATGTACAATTGACCATTTCACAGTCTTTTAATATAACTACTTTATTTTATTGTAGTTCGTTTTAATGAAGATACACTATTGATTTCAAATGTATTTGTTTTTACAAAAATTTTTCATTTTACGCAATACGCAATAAAGATAAAAATAGCAGTTTGTTATATGCATATTTCAAACTAATGATTTGGAAATTTACTGTTTTTATCATCGTAAATAAAGGAGTTAAGAAAGATGATAATATTAATGAAATGATTCAATTACCTAAATTTTGAATGTACAAACCATAAAAACGACTTTGTAAGCTTATTTTATTTTTGTAAATCGTACAACGTTGTTTTTTAAATTCAATTTCAATATCTTTTTCAAGAACATTTTAATTCCTGTTAAACTCTTTTGCTGCCTGATTTTTTGGTATATGTTCAAAAAAAGATGTATACTATATTATTTTGGAAGAAAAAAGTATCATGTCGATAAATTTTTTTTATTTGTTCTGGAAAATTTTTCACACAAGACATACCCGGAAATGTTTAATAATTCATGCTTCGATGATTTTTTATCGGAACTAAAAAAAAGTTTTATTCTTGATCCCTTGAAAATTTTTAAAACGCTTATATTATAGTAGTATCTGCATAGCAACACATTCTAGGTATTTGAACCGTTAATATTCCGATGATATTCGTGTATAAGTGACACAAAAAGAATTGACAAAAGGCCAAAAGGCAAGGTTTGATAATTCATTTATCAAGAGAGTAGAATCCTCACCGGTCTTTAGCTACAGTTAAATTTCCAAGGCTAGACTTGGTCACGTCATAGTACCGAAGTAAAAACTAGAGTTGCTTATGAAATTAATTTCACCAATTCTATCAACATCAATGATGGTGAAAACATCAATAATGGTGAAAGTATTTCATCGCTCTAACTTAATTTCATTGGCATCTTTAGAAAAAAAACCTCTGGCAAATTTGATCTTGTATCTTCAAAAAGTAAACAACTATACAACAGTTAGTTAATGAATACAATCATATTAAACAAATATAACATTGATTTCAACCGTGGGATCACTAAGCTTGCAAACAAACATTTTAAATTTTAGCAACACGTCTCATATCTGCAAACTTTAATAAAAAACTAATGCATCCTTTCAATACAAATTTCGCGAAGATAATAGTATATGCAAATTCTTTTAATATTCTTCTTTTCATTACCAGTTTCGTAAAGACAATATCATTTTACATCATACCTTAGTACGTAAAATAATTCGATGAACTAATTTATAATAAGCATTATGAAAATACCACTTGGTAAATTATCTGATCACAATTTTACGATTTATATAATGCGCCAATAGAGGGTCATATGAATCCATTTTTGGAGTTCTACTAAAAGATATATTATTTGCCTTTTTTTAATTATGATATGCTGATCTGATTTAGCCATCAAAATTTCGTCTGTCGATGCGAATATTTTGGTGGTTAAATCATTCAAAGCGGTCAGTACATCATAATTAAAAAAAAAAAAAAGTTTAGTTATTTAGCAAGCACTATTATCGTTATAGTAAGCTGTTGGATGATAAATTACATCTTTTAGTATAATTCTCAAGATCACGCAGTGACGCATATCTGATATCGATATAGTTTTTTACATAATGTGGTATGACATTTACATTTACAAGCACGTTTGTTTAGATAATTAATAATAAATGTCGTAGCTGAAGCTGGAAATTAGGAGTCTCGATTTAAAAATACAAACCTTACCGAAATCCACCTATACTCTTTTATTATAAAACTGATCCTAAATCCTAATTAACTGTAAAAAGAAAAAAAGAAAAAGCTAAAAAAATGCACCCCAATAAATTATCCAGAAATTGCAACACGTTATTACGTAGTTTCTCTGAAGCTGTTCATTTATACGATTATTTTTTGTTTTGTCTCTCATGGGATTATTTTGAGCATCCTACGCAAATTTTATAGCATCGTTTTTTGGTTATATTTTTTTTTTTACTCAATAGACTACTACAAATTTTAAAATGACTGTCGTCCCGACAGGCATAACTAGTTAATGATAAGCTATCCTGTATGTGGTCATCAGTACTACTGATAAAATTCTCATGACTGTCGTCATGACAAGTCATCAATACTTAAAACCTCTTAACCTTAATAATCGATGACTTCATAGTCTTTACAGTGATTACGGGTAGGGTGGGAATACGTTATTATTACTGATCTGATTTATTAATCCTCATTATCGTTATATTAAAAACCACGTCACTACAAAATTTCCCATGTGACTGTAATTTGGCATGTCACATGCCTGGTTACGAGCTGATTCGAGCAAAAGCTGCCTTGATACTATCGTATCGAGCAGCTTTAATTAACTTTGTAAAGAATAAAATATATACATTTACTTTCACTCGAACACTCTATGATTAATTATTGCTTTATACTGACAAGATATAATTCTTTCAGTCTTTGATATAAATATTATTATCAAAAATAATTTCATTAGCAATTAAATATTCAAATGATTGTTGATTAATATAACTAATAAATTTCTAGTAAGAACCGAACTATCCTCTATACTTTTAAGACATTATTTTGATAACCACTTCTTTATCAGATTTTAAAAATTCAGCGTATTGTTTTCCATTTTGAAATGATGCAGCTTTTAAATTACCAGAAGTGTAGTAATGTGAATCACAAAGTGTAAGGGAGGGTAGGGTATTATGACGCACTTAAGAGTTGCTTATATAAAAATTTTTAGGATTAGCGTATTTATTTACA